TACAGTCTTCTTTGGGTAAAAGGTCCAAAACTTAATGAATCTTCTTAAAATCTATATTTACAGGTTTGGATTGGATCAAGACTTAGTCATATTTAGAATACAGGTAGTCTTCAGTTAATAAATGCTCTATTTAGCTGCTAGTTGAACTTACAACAACACTTTAAAAAGTACTTGAACTTACAATAATCACAGCATTCCATGGTCATATAATCAAGATTTGGACTCTTGGCAACTGATGCACATTTACGACAACTGCAGAGTCCCAAGGTCATGTGATTGCCATTTGCAACCTGCACAATTGGTTTCTGATAATCAAAGTCGATGAAGAAGCTGGCAGTAAGTTGCAAACTGCAGTCACATGAAGTTAATGATCATAAGTGATTTGGTTAACAATTGTAGTGGAATTTATGCCGTAAGTTGGGTGTGGTTAAGTGAGTTTTTATTTAACAACTGTGTTGCTTAGTGATGGAGTGCTAACTGCAGTTGTTAAGTGAGGGCTACCTGTGTATTCATTGAAATGATTGAAACTTAAGTCTGTCAAGAATAATATGCAACTCATTAATTTAAATAGATTTACTCTGTTTGGATATATTTCAATTCTAGGGGAGAATCGATACTTGTAGATGAATAGAAGACAATTAGGATAACAATTCATCCATTCTAGTAATTTTTTCATTTTATTGTTTGAAATATATGATTGCGATTTTCTCTCATGCACTTTTGAATGCACACAGATCACCAACAGATTATACCTGTGATGGCAAACCTATGGTACGTGTGCCAGAGGTGGCACACAGAGCCCTCTCTATGGGCATGTGTGCTGTCGCCAGCTGGTCTTCCAGTTTCTGGTGCTCCAGCATGCACAAAGACCAGGTGGCCAGTGCGCATGCATGCGCCAGAAACCAAAAGACCAGCTGGCCAGTGCGCACATGCACACCGGCCAGCTGGTCTTCCAGTTTTGGGACTCCAGTGTGTGCAGGCGTGTTCCAGTTTCAGTACTTGTTGCCAAAAAGGTTTGCCATCATTGGACTTATACTATGCTCAGTTCTTAGGAAATCACAATGGGCCAATGCCCTTTTCTTCACAAGGCTGGTTGAAGGGCAGTAAGTTGGTATTTTTTCAAGAGAAACCTCTTTTTTTTCCCCTGCGAAGATATGTCACGCTTCTTCACAAATGATCTTTCTGTTCATAAATGCTTTCTATAAAGTTATGTAAACTCGGGAAGAAAAACTTTGGCACCAGCAATACTCTAAAAATATTTCCCTTAATAGTAGATGATTCCTCATCTTCTTTTAATATACTGTACTTCTGAAGCTACTTTCAAATCTATTATAAAGATTGCTGTTAGGTGCAGGTACCCTTTTAAGCAATTTTCTCTCAAAACTGTTCACTGTTTTCCTCCATCCCTCTAATGGGGAAATAAGGAGCAGAACCAGTGATTTCAGCAAAAACTACCAGATAAGCTATGCTCCCTACAATGTAAGGTCATAATTACATCTCCAACAACACATTGCTGCTGTAGAATGGCAATCATTATAAAAATGTTAAGGTTCCTTTAACTTCCTTTTTGAATCTGTCTGGAATTTTAAGTTTAGTGCTGGAATCCTCCTTCAGGCACCTTAATCAGCAGAATTAAGATAACTGACACCCAAAAAGGGATGTTTTCATTGAATAGTGAAGAACATGAGGTTGTGATGTACACTTATGTCCCCTCACCTATGGTTGGATTCAGCCCAGAGTTCCTACACTGGTTTTGCTCTTGTTCTACTTCTTCATAGGAAGCCCTGTTAAATAGAATCAGTGTGCAGAGACACTTACACTGTGTTCTATCAAGTTTCCTCCAAAAATGCCTTTCCATACAGACATTTTAATTACTTCATTTGGTAACTCAGAGAAGAGGTGGTGGAATTATGTCTGAGGAAAGCAAAACTGGAGCAGCACTATGGATGTCCAGAGCAGAGAGTCCAGTTCTTTATGTCACATTTGTTTTGGAATGTTATGTGCCAGGACAATTCATCATACAGACATGGGTTTCACAGCATTGCCATGAAAACTAAATGCACATATTTAACTTGTCATTCTCTTCCCAAAGTTCAGAATTTGAAACAAATTACAATGATTTCACAGAAAAAAGAACTGATATATATTTGGGCAGATATGTATCTGGCTTCTGGACATTTGCTCAAGATGGTACCTTTTTTCAAACTAATGAAAAGTTACTACTCTAATAATTCAAAGTTTTCCTCTAAATAAAAAACTAAAACCTTTTCTTCTGCAAAAAAGTAAAGTGAGCATTGAATAAATTTATTAGGGTGATTGAATCTAAGCTAGGTGAGCTACTTCGACCTAAGCTTATTTAAAGTACTGAATGATGTATTAAAAATCACATAACCTCCATTATTTGCATAGGTGACCATATATCAACAGTTTTGTTTGTACTGGATAAACTTAATTTGTGAAGAATCATTTATACCTCGCTGCAATGAAACCTACTGAAATTGGAAGTTCTTAAAAGCCCATATTTATTCTTTGGGTTACATAAAAGCCTCTAAGAGGAGGAGGATGAAATTCGGATTTTCCACTTATATCCTTGACTGCCTCTTAGTCACCAAAAGCAATTGGTCACATGCAGATCTGCATATGTAGACTAAGATAAGCACACTGTGCGCAAGAATAGTGTGTTTGTGTGTGTGTGTGTGTGTGTGTGGTGTGTATAAAGTATATACATATACTTTATATGTACATAAAGTGTATATACTTTATATATGTATATGTGCGCGCGCATGTGTATAAAGTATGTATACATACTTTATGTGTGTGTGTGTGTGTGTGTGTGTGTGTGTGTGTGTGTGTGTGTGTGTGTATGTATATACCCACCACCACCACCACACATCCTTTATTTGAGTTGTAAATTTTATCTCTGGATGGTTGCAAGTCAAGCATTTTGTAAGAGCTATTTTTTTATTGTTAGCACAATTATCTAAATATAATAAATGATTTCATCAATGTGTATTGAAGCCTTTGATCTGGCTTATATTGTCTTTCTCAGCTATTTTTGTTTCTAATGGCCTATGAACAACCATGCACTCATCTCCCTGCTTTTCAGCCAGTTCCCCCTTTTAAAAACAGTTGTTTGCTTCTCTGGCACCCATAAATATGATTTAAAGACAGTGAGGGTGCTGTCTAAAGGTTCTGATGTTGGTGGTCTAATTTAGAATCCAGCATAAAAGTCCC